TGGGGACAGAGCGTAGCCAAAGAGCTTACCACCTATTTCAGTGATTAATTTTTGCTGTGTAGTTAAAGATGTTTTTTTCCAAAATTTGATGAAGATAAGACAAGACCTGTTTGGGAAGAAACTTATATGCGTGTTTTGAGAAGTAGCATGTCAACATATGGGTTGGCATTGGAAATATTTTTCACTGCTAAACATAGCTGCTTTATTTCTGTTTACACATATCTGCCAAATAAATTCACTTTGAGGGTGGGCGTAAAGCTCACTTTTCAACAACACAACGTTCAGGTACTAAACTAGATGCCTAGATTTTGAAAAAGGACTTGATAAGCTTATGGATTCTTGATGACTTTTGCTGTGTCTTAGAAAAAATTACTCTGATTTAACTGCGTATTTGGAAACTTAACTGCTTTGAAGACCTTAACCACAGGTGAGTGTTCTTTCTCACTGGTATCAGGATACTTTGTGAAACTATTGCCATCAACATTTGTTGATAATTTAATATTTCTGTTTAGTTAAACATCAGAAGTAAGTATGTGCCTAGTCCTGGAAACAGCTGTCTATGGTGAGAAAATGCTGCCTGTTTGGGGAGACAGTGAGTTGCAAAATGTCTATTTTTGACTCTTCCAAAAGTAGAGAAGTACTTTAAAAATGTATTTTATCTGCTGTTAAAGTGTAGGATTTGTAAGTTGTTTTTATTTATTTTTTTTAAAAAAAGAGGGTTAAAGTGATGCCCACCAAAATACTTAATAAAACATCTTAAACTCAGGGATTCTCTCCACTGCTGTAGAATGAAGTAAAATACTCCCTCTAGTGTACTGCTGCTGTAAATACGTGCAGGAATAGTGGACATGATTTACTGAGGAGTACTGCTGCAGGAAATTACCAAATAGTATTTTGGCAAGAGATGTGGAAGGTGCTTACATAAACTGGAGAGACTGGTTTACAACATTGAGTCAAGTGAAACAATAATAAATACCAAGCCAAAAGAAATCTGCTGTTGGAGTAATTAATGAAGTAGGAAGTTGATGGGAGTGCGTGGCTCTGGTCATCTGGGCTGGAGGCAGGGACGAGGAGCATGGTCCCTTACTGGGGAGCCCTCTGCTATGTGCTTCCCCTTGCAGGGCCCGAGCATAGTTCCATGCCATATTTTGCATAAACCGGTTATATTCTGAGAAACAAACGTGGGTGTTGCTGTCATCTTGAAGTGAGTGTGGCTTTGATGGGACTTCTAAAGAGCTGCTTAACCTCTGTCTGCCAGAATTGGTATAAAGTAACTACGCTGAGGGAGATGCAGGTGGGGTTTCCTTTTCATGTGCCTGCGAGTCTCTTGCTAACAGCTCCAGTCTTTTGGTTCAGGGTAGGAGAGACGCAGAGTTATTGTACTTCCCCAGTTTGACTAGATGAAGGGATTTAGTTGTTGCTGGATGTTTCTGAGTTTTAATTTTTTAAACCTATCATAGCTAGTTAGAACATAAATATAAATGTTTACTTAGTACTTATTTCTCACCTCCTAGTTCAGGTAGTAGTATGCATGCAAAGGTGCTATGGTGCTTTGTGCAGTTGTTTGTTATAGAGTAGTCCCAGCTGTGGAAGCCTTATTGTTCTGGACTTTGAGCAAGCATTAAAAAAAAAAAAAAAAAAAGCCATGCTTCAAAGACTGCTAACTTGGGGCTTAGAGCTAAGATCTAGTTAGCCTTAGTCAAAAGTACAGGAGGGTCTGACTGAATGAAGCGTTTGAATCCCTGCTGTGGGAGAGAATTGGGCAAGCATTTAGCATTAAATGGGTTAAACAGGTTAAAAAAGTTCCTCTGAAAATAAGAGAACAAGGCAAAAATAGCACATGAAAAGCGTTCGATTTAATGTTATGGCTATTCATTATATTTATGGTATACTGTAATTCTGGAGTTCAGAATTACATATATGTAGCTTCCCTCACACCAGCGGGCGTAAGACTTCAAACTTGAGGTATTTAGAAGAACTCCTGTGTCTGTCTGTCTTTGCCCGTTTGTTTGAAAACCAGATGTTTCACTGGTGATAATTTGTTTTTATGAGCTTCTAATGAAATGCTGCTTGTTTTTCTGCCAACCCAGCCCATAACTAACTTACACCTTCTGAGTCCAGGCTGCCACGAAGCTAGAAATTCAGGAACTCTTCCTACGGTGGATCAGAACAAAACAAGGAAACTTCATGTGGAAGAAGAGGAGAATCTTTCCTTGCCCCTCTACCTGTTGGAGCAAATGAATTTACATATACATATGTGATATTGTCTGTTGACCAGCAGTAGTTTCACAAATGCTTGTTTTTATAAACATTCCTGACGTTTTTCTCAGAATCCTTAAGCTTAAGGGCAGCAGTCAATGGGCAAACTTCTAATTCTGATTCTATTTTGTAGAAATTATGTTTATTTTAAGTTAGATATCTTAATCTTAAGTATATTGGGATGATTAAGGGTCTTCTGTTCATAGTTACTGTTTTCTGAAATAAAGGAAAAAAGTCTATGCCCGTTATTTTATTCCTTTTATGATATCAGTATTGACGCATTCACCAGGTACTTCTCAAGAATACAGTGTCTCTGCTGAAATACCCTCAGCTGTTGTGATGAGATAAGCGTTTTCCTCTCTGGATTATCGAATATTCTGCTTTTGCTAGAAATCTGCCTGCTGGCTTCCTAACACATTAGCTTTCTCTGCATGCAATGCCAGAGCCTTTGCATTTGTTCCAAGGGTAGTGAAAATTATTAGTCTTCATTTCTGAGTCCTTAGTGCAGTCACTCTGGTGCACCCAACTTGTAACTGCCATATTCGATTTTCTGTAGTCATATAATTTCTCTCTTTACCTTGATTTGTATGTTCTCATAAACACTTTTCTGGCTTTTTCAATATGTTTTTTTAAAAAACAAGGATTTGCATCAGTTTCTGAAAAAGCTGCTCTCCTGCCTGTTAATTTCCAATTCTTGCTATCGTTTTTGTATTGACAACTGCAGCAATGTGATTTGGCAATGCATTTTGGAAACAGTGTTTGCTAGAGTTATCTGCTCAAAATTCAGAGTTTCTCATACAAATCTTTTCATATTGTCCTGAAACAATTATAATTAGCTATAAAGATTACACGATACTTGCACAGGGTTTGACTGTGCTGGATGAGTGAGAATCCCCCATAAGGAAAAGGGTTTGCATGGGTAGAAAGCTTTGAAAAAGATCTGCGTGCTGAGACATGTTAAAACGTGAAAGGAATAGTTAGTTCAAAAGACTTACCCCTCTTTTTTGATAATCATTAAACCTCTTTTCCTATGGTTTTGTCAATCAATATTTTCCCATCTGTCAGGACAAACCATTCTACTACTATTGAATTTTCAGTTCACTTCCCGTAGTATCTTGTTTCATGTGTCTTGCAGTTCTGCATGGGGAGGATCTTAGAGGTTTGCAGAGACATTGGTGCATAAATCAGAAATCACCAGGTTTCAAATTAACAGGACTTTAAAGGAATCTTTCCCTTTTCACCTTTTGACTAACGCAAAATAACTTCCAATTAACTTTGTTTAGTCAATTTTATTCACAATTTAAAATTGCTGTCTAGCGTGTGTTGCAGTGTTTGTTTGTGAAGGAATTAATTTGCCTGTGGCTTTGAGTAAGTTCATAGTGTGTTTCTTCCTCTTCGCCTTTTCTGTAAGGCAAAAGATTTTGATTGTTTTTTTGTGGCATTATTTTTCACAATAACTTAGGTGAACCCTAAGTGTTCTGTTCAAAAGAATGGTATAACTTCTTTTATTTTGAAATTTGCTCATCCACAAATGAAGCCCGATTTGTTCTGGAGACTCTTTAACTTCAATTTGAACTCTGTAGATTGTTCTGTGTGGTTTTTACTTTGTCTTTTTCCTTTGTAAATATATCATTGTCCTTCCTTTATGAGAAGTGTACTTTTAATGTTGTGGAATTTATGATCAGGTTAGTCTGGTAATTAGAACTTCCAAAATAAATAATTTTAATTGTAGAGATTGTTCAGAAATGTTCAAGAAATGTAAAACTGCTATACCTAAAATGTAATGGTACCAATACAAACCTTTGGAAATTTAGCCTCTGTTTAATATGGATTTTGAGTTGTAAGAACCAACCTCTAACTTCTGCAGAGTTCAGTAACTTTATCATAAGAAGTGTAGAAGCCAATACTGGTTGTCGTTTTGGCTCTTCCTTTCTCTAGCAAGTCAGTCTTGACAATCTGATAGTGGTCAAAATGAGAGAAATCATCAGTGGCAGAGGGTAGGCAGAGTACAAATTGGTCTTACAGTTGACAGCAAAACAATTCCATGTATATGACAAAATTTCCTTCCCTGCCCTCCATAATGTTCTGTTTCTCTCATGGGATGACCTTGAGTGCTTCTGGGCAATCTTTTCTTAGAAAGAAATCTCCCAGAATGCTGCCATCTTCTAAAAATAAACCAAGCTTACAGGCTCGGATGTGTCGCTGCTTTTCCTGTTTGCCTAAGAGGAGACTACACCTCTCCCTGCAGAGTCCTGCGGAGGTGGCTTTCTGCTGGTTTGTCGTTTGGCTCCCTCTTCTGGCCAGAGTTTGGGAACGCGCTAATGAATGTCTTCAGTTTCTCTAGCTGAGAGAGAACACCTTGGGAGCAGCCTGTAAGATAAAACCAGGTCACAGTTGCACCCATGTCCGATTGAAAATTGAACGTCCAGTGTAAAACTACTATATGATTAGGCTTTTAGCAAAAGTAAATAATGTTTAAAACTTGTAAATAAGGGATTTTCCTCTCTTTCTGCCCCTATTGTTTCTCCCCACATCAAAAGCACTGAAGACCAGATGGTGGGCAGCAATCCATGGGCGTTGAGTGCCCTCAGTGTTTGGCATGACCAGATCCTGGGTCAATCTATGGCATTTGTGAAACAGTCTTACTGATAATTGAACACTAGAGAACAAAATGTGGAGTTACATTGCTTCCATTCTACAACTAAACATGTTTTCTCTTTCCTTTTTTTTTTTTTCTGCAGGTCATAGAAACACTCTCAAAACTTTCTCGCACTCCTATAGCAATAGGCACAGGAATAAGGTATGTTAAAGCCCTAGGGATTTGTGGGAATAATATCTCTTGCACAGTGCTCCTTGGAAAAAAACACTAAAAGCAGTTTCAGGAGTCATGGAGCTTTTAAGGGGAGGTTAAATGATCAGACAGAAGTAGAATCTTTTCCCCAGTTTATCTGTAAAATGGATGATGCAGGAAAGCAAGTATTTGCCACAGGCCTGTGAAGCTCTATTTCATGTAAATGCTGAAGTATTGGACAGACGATGTTATAGTAGAAATCCCAGCCCTTTCCGTTTTTCTAAAAGCTATAAAAATAGTATATCTGAAACAAGGGCTATAGGAGCCCTTCCCCTCCATTGTCTTCTGTGTGGCGCTCTGACCAGCTTGCAGGCTGAGCGATAGTTGCGTTCAGGGAATTTTTCAGCTGGAACATGTTGTCATAGACCACCCAACAGGTTGGGGCACTTTCCATTACAAGCCCCTTAAATGTTTTGCGCTAGCTAAGAAAACATGCCTGAACGTAGGGAAGAAGGGAATGGAGAGATACAGGGTGTCCTGACAGCCAGTGTTCTCCACTAAGCACTTCACTGGTTGCAAATGATGCTGCTCTGATGGATAACTAACCAAGGCTCTGGACCTTGAGCTCCAACGAGTTCAGTGGGGCATCTCTCTCTGGTATATTTACTGAAGTACGTGAGGTCTTCTGGTGTTTGAATACAGGGTGGACAAATCAATAGTTTGGTATTATGGAACCTGGAATAATTTTGAGGCATGAGTTGCATGTCAGACTGCTGCCACATTGATCTGTGTGGAGAAGAATGGGTTTTCTCCTCTTTCCCCCTTCTGAAAATCAGCAGAACTGCCAGGTTTATGAGATTGCCATTTAAAACAAATAAGCAAACAGGAAAACCCACCCTCATGAACTCTAGACGTGGGCTGTGAGAACAGGTGAGGAATTGTGTACTTTAACTTCGTTATTTTCCAATTTTTGAGTGATTTGTTTCTGTAGTTGTACCCTCATTATAAATGGTTGATGTTTTCCAAACATAAACAAAAATTCCTAGCCAATTCTATAATGTGTCCAGTGCTAAAAGTTCATATTTCACCGTAGAACTAGTGAGTATTTAATACTCTTGGTTGAAAATCTGACAACGATGTACAGTATGGGTGATTTATAACAACCCCATTCAGTAGGGTTTTTAAAAATATTAAACATCAATTTATAAATACAAGTATAAGTACTTGTATATTTGTCAGAGGAAAAAGAGGGAATCATACACGCCCCTTCACATAGATTAATATTTTTTAATGTTAACATTTTAGGAATCAAACAAAAAACCCTGTGTGACTAGGCCAGTATAATATAATTTACACTATTTTTATTTCTATAGGCCCTTCCCTACAGAAGAAAGCGTTGATGATGAAGATATCTACAAAGGTCTTCCTGATCTATTAGAGTATGTTGTAAATCTTTAGCTAAATGAAAAATTTTGGCTTTCAGTTGCACATTTTTTTTTTTACATAATGTTATTAAATACACAGTTTTAATGGGAAAAGGATTTTTTTTGATTTAAAAAGGTTTGGTTAGTCGTTATACTGACCAGAAAGAATTAATTATGAAATCCGATTGTGAAGAAGTGTGCTTTCATAAAGGGTGTTGGTAGTAAAATAAATCATGAGTGCATCTTTGAATCATCTGTCTGGCCTATCAGAATGCTTTGGTAGAATTACAATATCAGTAAAAGAAATCATCTTGATCTTGCAAAGAAAATACATGTTTGGATCGCAATTCAAATGGCTCGGGTAGCTTCTCTAAAGTCAATGAAGCTCCTCCTATGAGTGCGTTTGCCTCTCTGGGAAAGTGTTTGCAGGATTATTAGTTATTGCAAATGTTCACATTGGCTTTGGGACACGAGCAAGATAGACATGAGCATACTGCCTGGTATTACGTGGTAGACTGCAGCCTTATTTAGAGGATTAGTGAGGCAAACATATCTGGCATAAACAACTTGATTCAGCGGTAGAAAAAAATGCTTTTGTATCCTATGTTTAAGATCTCTCACAATCCATTAGGAATTGTGTGGGACAAGAGCAAAGATCTGAGCCGCTATTTTCAAAACTCCTTGTCCCACAGCTCTGAGTTCACCTGCCCTCAGTTTGTTGGTCCCCTATCCCGCTGTCTCTGGGCCCTCTGACCGCGTTGTAAGTTGCTTGCCAGGGTGCCATGCAGTAGTTGCTCTTTGCAACGTGGCTCCGTGTCCTTGCTGTGCTATTAAAAAGGAAAAATCCCCATGATGTTTGGTGTTGCCCAGCCTGTCGCCTTCCCTGCAAAACTCCTCCTTGTCCCCTGAAGCTGACTGGCTGCCTCATAGCTGCTTTTTGCTCTGTGTAACTGAAAATGCAGAAGGTAGCTACTGCAGTCTCCTCCAAGCTGGAGAACTGAGTGGGCTGGAAGTGATATCCTGATCTCTTAGACAGCTCCTCGCCTCTATGCCCAGGTTGCTCTTGATTTGCGTCTGGAGAGAGAGGCATGGGCAGAGGTGGCTTTTCTGGACTCTGTTTTTATTTTCCCTTATTCCGCTACATCCTTTGCCTGATTGTTGGGGGTGGGCGGAGGAAGAGCATTGTCCTGCTTTATCATAACTGAATCCCATGAGAAATATGAACGTGGTACTTTTACAAATAAACCTTGAGTATCTGTATTATGTACTATATTGTTAAAATATGCAGTTCTCCAGAGTTGATGTACAGAAATACTAACCTCGAAGTCCAAAGAGAGTAGAAATAGACTCAGGTAGAACCAGCTGTTCTTATTTATGAAGAATTCTGTTAATGTTTGTGGTATCAGCAGTATCTAAAAGTACTCTTCTGAACAGTCTTTCTGAAGGGCATGCAAGTTTAGAATTCGGAGATAAAGTTGGGGGGGGAGGCAGAAAGGGAGAAGGTAAACAAATCTTGCCAAAGAAATTGAGATCAATAGTTCCTCTTTTGCATCAAATAGATATTATTTACTGATATTTGATAGTTGTGTGCTGTCTCAATTGTATAAGAAGCAATTCAAGTAGTACTCTTTTCATAAGAAACAAAGTGCTGGAGAATGATGCAAGTAACCCACACTTTTGAGTTTCTCTTAATTAGTGAAATATATTTGGCTAAAATAGTCTAATTGTCTCTGAGCCTAAATGTTGTCTAAGGAATTTAGAATGAATCTAAGGCTTTCCATTAGGTAGAGCCATAGTAATTAAATGTTTCCATCCTTGCTCTGCCTTTTTCTCAGATTTTGTTCCCTAGAAAGGAGATGGTAAAATGGAGCATGCCTACACTGCATCTGAAACGGTTCCTAGCATTTCACATTAAGCACTAGCACACCTTCATCACTAGTGTAAACTGAAATGTTAGACGAACCTGTAGCACCTGAGTTGTGGTTATGTACTTCCTCTCTCTTCTGGGGCATGACTGTCTTTTGGCAGAGATGTGTGTAGTATCTTTAAGCCGCTAATATTTGTCTGTTGAATCCTAAAGATATTTTTCTTTGTCATTCCATCTCTTAAACCTTAAAATGCTTTATTTGTTTATCCTTCACATGTCCTGTGTGAAAAAATAATTTGTGATATGTGTTTAATGAGAAATAAGAAGTTTACTTGGTTTATGTTTATAGTCCTTACCATAGACATGGTGATTTTGTCTGGATTTTCAAAGTAGTCTGTTTGGCAGCTGTGTTGATATTGATTCTCAATCATGTTGGTGTCTTTCTTTGAAATCACTAGTCTCTGCTGGTGGACCGTTGTTCTTCAGTACTGACAAGTCACCTTACATAAATGGTTGTCCCTCCTAAGTCTAGACTTGCATCTCAGTGGACAGACCCTCACTTGGAAGCTCATTTAGAGTGCAAAACAGTGTTATCTTCCAAAAATAAAACCCTCAAAACTATCTGGTCATGTCTCTATATTATTCAGACCAGATTAATATCAATATCCTTTAGAGCTGTTGTGTAGACATAACCTAACAAATCTGGGTGTAAGAGAGCTGCTGCGTGGTACAAGCCTAGTGCAAAGTAGGTAAAATTGCAGCAAGGCTGACTCTAACAAAGATGAATTAGCTTACGATAGACTTGAATATTGATTTTATACTGAGGTATTTCTGTAGGCTGAGTAGCAGGAGTTCAGTGATAGGTGGCTGGAGGATGTTTTTGCATTATAATTAAAACCTATCAAACGCTTTTGTGAAGACTCTGTTTTGTTGAGCTATCTGTTTGAAAAGTCTCTTATATTTTGGGTAGTGGAAGGTTGCTATGGGGTAATTATTTCTTTAGGCAGGAAGGATACCTGTATCAGTGTCTTGCATCCTCATGGATGCAGTGGGACAGTCAGCAGTCAAGTGGGACAGTTCCCTTCCACTTGATGTGTGGGAGGAGGGACAAAGGAAAGAGAGTGGTCAAGCAGTACCGCTTGACAAGGGTGTCCTGACCAGCTTCTTTTGATGCCCTCCTTCTCTGTCCATACCCTGATTTAGTTCCTGCGTGGTTCTAAATTTATTTAGTCTTCAACATTGTGTTGATTTCATACAATCATGTTTTAAGTGTGACGAGGTAAGAAGATCAAAGGACTTGATTCCCCTTAATGAGTTGTTATCCTAAGATCTGTTAATCTGTTTATTTTTACTCTAGCAATCTTTTCCTATGAGGAGTGCTTCCTTGCAGAACTGACATGGTAACTTACCTATACTGCAAATTTTGTTTTTCATTGTGTTTTCCTTTTACCTTTCAGTGAAACTGGTGTAGAAGAAGACGAGGAGTTATACGATTGTGTCTATGGAGAAGATGAAGGTGGGGAGGTATATGAAGACCTAATGAAAGATGAAGCAGCACAGCCACCTGTACGATTTCTAATTCCTTGTTATTTTTCAAAAATTGCAGTTACGTTTTTGCCGTTTAATGTTCATGAAATTCTATCTTTATGGCTGGTTTCATGGCAACTTAGCTCATGTTCGGCTGCATGTAGAGCTGTCATGTGCAGTACATTGTCTCCTGTATAAGACTTTGTGCAGTCTCTTGGCAAAGGGTCAAATGCTGTGGTGGTTTTTAGAAAGAAATGTAATTTTTTACTGAAATAAAGTAATGACTTATTTTGCTAAGATTTATTCAATTGTGAAAATTAAGATTGACTAGCTAATTAAGAGCAATGTCAAGTGTTCTACTTTAAAAATCGATATGATATAATATTTTGAAACACCGTCGCTTTGGCTATAATTGGAACAACTAATCTGGAAGTGACAACGAATAATCTTTTCATGCCTTATTCAACCATGTAGTCTTTTGTTGATCATAAGGCTGGTCTCGCTTGAGATTTGGATAAGTAGCATGCTTACTTTACCATATAAAGGCACTACGATCAGTTTTCAAAACTGTCTTGAAAAAATACAGACTTTTAGTTATTAATCAGGGGAAACCCCTTCTAATGATGTACTTGTCTACCTTTCAGAGACGGGTAATTTACTGTCTGGAAAATGTTAGTGTTTGGCCATGATAGTGCATGTTTTTTAAAGACAGTTAAGATGATTGTTTTCTTCTCCTCTTATACTGTGCCTCATGTTGTCTTAAGTTGGAAATTCACCTCTGCTCTTCCAAGTTACGTTTTAGTAATGTTGGTGAATGAAGAAGTGAGACATTCTAAAGATCTTGTTTGTTTTTTCCCTTATGTAACCTTTTGATAAAAGCATGAAAGATACCTAACATGATTTGTGTTTTCTGCTTTGACTGTGATTGCACCAAATTACCACTCTCTGTTGAAAAGACTATTTTCTTTGGGAAGATTATTGCCTCGCTTTGTTTTATATCATAGTAACAGATTAATTTTAGAGTAACATATTACTTTCTAGACTGTTTTGCTGCTAATGCAAAATCTTACAGATAATACACATAAATCGTGGAAGAGATAAGGAGGAACTTGTGCTAGTTTTGCACATTTTGCTTAATTTGGTTTAACCTCTATGTTTTGGGCCTCAAAGGAAGCCAAACTAAAAAGTCAGTTGAAAAACTAGATACTGTGTGAATATTATCAAGTTGCATTCACTTGCAGGTAGGAATTTTTAGAGAAGTGTTTGAATTGTAGGAAACTTTTATTTTTTACTTTTTTTTTTAAAATACTGAATCTCAAAACACAATAAGTTTTGGCTTAGATAGGATGGGTGCAGGTGTTTTTTTCAACAGTAAAGGTTGATAACCTCTGCCAGTTTGTAGTGTGCAAACTTTCTCTGATTCTTTCCTGTTTTAAGTGTCGCTCTCACATACCCGTGTTTGTAACAAATGATTAATATAGAAATCAGAACTTTCACACTCTAATTTTAGTTTCATCTTAAGCCTAAATGCTTCAAATTGATTGTTACAAAAAGTAGATGAAACATGAAAAAATGTTACAGCAAAATATTTTTTCCACAACATGGAATGAATGGAGACATTACAGTTGCTTTGCTCTGACAAGTTTCTTGAATGTGGTAATTATTACTAGTTTGTGATCGTTTGCTCTTCAGATTCATAAACACGCTGCATGCTAATATGACAGTTTTGTGCAGTTCTTGCATTTGAATTCTATGCAAGAATTCACTGCATGTAAGAACATGAGCACAGGACAGTCTTCAAGCAGATTTTGAACAGAGCTCAACACGTTTCAGAGTCTCCATTAGCTGGTCAAAAATACATCTTTTTAAATCTCCCTCATCCTTGATTTATTGCCATTGTCCTGCAAAGTAAACTATTCTAAGTTTCCTCTGCCAGTGATGACTTGCAAAGACAATTTTTCTTACCTGTGGTGGCATTTGCACGTTATTTTTCTTTTTTTCTTTCTCCTTTTGTCATATTCAAATTCCAGAAGTTTGTAGTATAGATAGAAAATTATGTTGTTAATTTTTGCCAAAAGTGCCTTTGGGAATGATCTGTGTGTTAGGTGAACACAAAACTGAAATAAATTCTGTTACTGAGGTGGGATCCTTGGATTTCATTTGCATTGCTTGTATGAGTTGGTGACCAACAAAAACAAAAAAGTTACAATTGGATTTGAACTTCTATTGGGTACAAAAACTTTTATATTGATGCAAATACTGCAATCAATTTGAGGAGTATTGAGCTCACAAAGGAAAAGATAAGATATAACTAAAGATAAGATATAGCTAAAATAATCCAGAATCCAGAATAATGTCAAGTTTCCTCACTTTATTGACAGTAATTACCTATGGTTAACTCCCCTGGCTCTTCCTCCAAAGGAAGAGAGTTTGGGAGGATATGGTAGACTTTAGGATGAGCCTGATCCACAGAGTACGTTTCTACTGATAATGATAGACTGCATTTTCACAAAACATGTCACTTCTGTCCCTAACTGATAAGGACAGCACTTTAATGTCCATTGTGGGAAAAGCAGTAATCACAAGAATTAGATTTTTAAAGTGTAATTTCTGAGACTATAATGTGGTACCTGGTAGATGAGTGAGGAGCATGTTCCAGTTGCAGGAGCTGCTTTTAGAGGCAAACACAGAGAGGTTAAAAGACATAGCAAAATAGCAAACAAGTGTGTGAACAATGATGAAGCCTCGTGTGTCTGTATGATTTGCAGCTTGATGCCTGATCTACATGGTAGTGATAGATTTCCCCATGCCATTTCCTAATAGATGGCCAAAAATATCTTGGGAGCTGTGTGTGGCTCGTGGACAATTGAAGCGCGACTTTCTATTTGCTGCCCTGTGCTTGTCAGGTAGACTGATGGCAGAGGAAAATAGTGGTGGTATAGCTCTTGGTCATATTGAGAACTTTTTCTAAATTTTTGGAACTAAAGTTTTTCCGTCCTTGAAGGGAAAAAATGTCTTTTGTTCAGTAGCTATTGATCTTTTTCTGAAGGGAGAGAACTGAAATACTAAATGTCTGGTCCTGGACACCCCCTTCTCCCCGGTATAATTGTATGTAACATCTATCTAGTAATCAGGACTATTCCTGCAGTTTGTGAAATTCCTACACTAGCTGAAAAGAGGGTAAGATACTGTCAAGAAGATCCTGAAGGATAACTTGGAAGGGTGTTGCAAACTGGTAAATAGGCTTCAGAAGAAGTGACTGTGCTGTTGCTTATGAAGCTGTGGTGGTTTTTGGAGAGAGCTATAAGTCATCACTCTTAATTTTAACAGTCTATCCAGTCACTGTGTCAGGTCTCCAAGCTGACTTACATGTCACCAGGTGAATTTTCACTCACTGGGCGTGAATGTTTCCATACCTGCTTCCAGGCATATATCTCTTACTAGGAATCAGATTTGCAAATTATCAAAGTTCTAACGCTGTATATCTAATCTCCAGTAGGAATACTTGTAAATTATTTTTATAGAGTGCTGATAATTTCTTCAATTTCCTATGAGTCTGCTGACTTGCACAGAAAAATCTGAGTCTCATTGAAAAGAAACACATATGTATGCAAGGACTCAACTTCAAGAGGTACTGCATTTTCTGCTTTGAGAACAGCTTCATATTGTGTCCTAAGGGAAAGCTCCCCTTGTGAACTCAGAGGAAAAACTAAATAAGTGCAGGAATTAGATTGAATCCAATATTTATGTCAATGCAAAGTTACTTACATGAGTTAGTCCCATTAAGTGTAATGGAATTATTAACTGCTCAGTATTTTAGATAAAATGTCCTAGTCTGGATCTAAACTGAATGTGGCCTTATACGTCAGCTTCCAAAGTATATGCAGAGAGTTAAGCTTTTTGTAACTAAACATTAACTGTTCATAATATTCCTTTAATGCTGAATTTTTGGTAAAACTCTTATAGTCATTAGCTAATTGAACAATAAAAAAAATTCTTGGTAATTGCTACCATTTTTGGAGGCTGGAGTACTCAAAAAATTTCAGGAAGCAGTTATTGTCCTAATTGCTTATTTTAAACAAATAAATACATTTGTTATCCATTATGTGCCTAATAATGACTTAAACTTGACTTCATTGTAATTGCAGAAATATACTGAAAATGACATAAGGAGCTGTTGTCTTGCTGAAATAAAGCAAACTGAAGAGAAGTATACTGAAACACTGGAATCAATAGAAAAAGTAAGATACTATTCACTTATAGAGTTGTTATTTATATATTTTATAATTATTATTTACAGTCTAGAAAATATAATGACACATTTGATGTGTACTTTTTTCCTGGCAGTTTTTCATGGTGCCATTGAAAAGGTTTCTGTCAGCATCAGAGTTTGATACTGTTTTCATCAACATTCCTGTAAGTAATTGCATATTTAATGAGAAGTTACGCGGTTCATATCTTGGTACCGTTTTGGTGTCAGATGCCATTGCACAAAGTGATTTTTTGAAATAAGGTGCACAAGTTCTCATGAAGCATTTACGTAGATATTAGGATGCTTAACGAAAAAGAGCTTGCACAATATTTCTCCCCCCCCGGTTTTTCCTAGTTGAGGAAATAAGAGAAACAGTACTAGCCAGATAGTGAGTGCCTATAAACGGGAGTATCTTTGACCCATAGCTAGCTAGTAATTCATAGAAGATGGGTTGTCTTTTAAAATATGCCAATATTGTAGTGACTGTACAAAGTTGTGACTGTTAAGTTGCTTACCACTCAATGTTGAGCAGTGCTTTCAGTAGGAACTCTGTAGATACTGTGCAAATCCTGGTGTCTAGGCTGTATATGTTATCACTGAAGACATTTTAAAGTGAAGCTAACTTACAACTTTGGATCCAGAATCTGGCACTGGAAAGGATAAAGAAACCTTTTATGAAATATCTAGGAGAACTTCTATTTAACTGAAATCTGTTAAGCTTTCTGTAATTATTACTTTGCTCCATTTATTTTTGGCCTGTTCACAATTATATGACAGTTTATGTCTTTTCTAGGCGGGGTTACAAGTATTCAGTAGACGTCTTTCTAATACTTTAAAGGAAGACACCAAGCATGGTTTGCCATCTCTCCTAACACAGACAAAAGAATATTCTTTTACCAAGGCAAATTTTAAAGGAAGACTCCCAAAGTGTGGCCTGTGGACCACTTCAACCTACAGAACCTTTATTACCTGTAAAAGATGTTCTCAGTTTTGGTCATCTTGGGCAGGTCACATAGCCTGTCAAGGCTGCAGGATGTGTCAGGTTTTTATTTATTATCTTTGTTGTTGGTTTTTTTTTTTTTTTTAATTTGGCCCCATCAGGCGGTGGAAGCACAGAGCAGCCTCCCTTGCCCCTGTCAGGCCGTCGGAGCCAGGAACCCCAGTGCAGTGTTCGTGCTGCCCTATTCCCACTTCCTTGCAGGGTTTCCAGAGGCAAGCAGGCCCTGATTCAACCTACCTAACTTACCTTAAGCCTCTCTCCTAAGGTTCAGTGTGCCTAGGCGTATTGGCTCATGCGCGTTTACAGACCTAAAGCCAGCCGACATGACATGCTGTACAGGGTTCTGTAACCACGAAGTATAAGGTCAGTCAGCTCATTTAAAAAAAGCGTTAGGGCATCAGATAAGAGGGAATAAAAAGAACAAAAACTGCTCGTTTGAAATGAGCAAGATGTACTAAACTGCTATATTTAGAATGTTTTACTTTGCTTTCCATTGTCAGCGTTCAGTAGTCTTCTGTTACAAGAAGGTACTTATTTCTAACTCCTACAACCTTCCGTAGGTTTCTAAAGCATTAAAAGAAATGTAGGGCTTGCCTTGGCCAAAAATATGTGCAAACATTTTATCTGCTGAGACGTTGGCTCTGTGGTAGTTACTCAGCAGGAAGGCTGGAGGGCAGTGGAAGCTTATTTTAAACTAAAAATAGCTCTGTTACACGGATATCTACAGCAAACTGGGATGTGGAGAGCAAATGCAGTGATCTCAGAACAGGATGGGTTTTTCTCTTTCAAGGAGTTGTGGTGAGGCATGGTGATGTTATATCCATATATATAGATTCTGACAGATGCCTGCTGGACAAAATTACCTGCCAATGTTAAAATATACTTATTGCTAAGAAAAAACCCAACTCATCAGTCTAAACTAATGCATTTCATGAGGGCTCATAGATCAGAATTCCAAGTTCAGTCCTATGACATATATGGCTCTGTGTGCGTGTATGTGCATGCCTATGTATACGTGCGTGCACATAGGTGCATATATACATCTGTGCATGTATGTATATTGAGGCATACATATATACAGACATAGGCATATAGAGGGAAAGATATAACTGATGGTAAGTGTTAAAGCTTTTATTAACTTTTAATGATGATCAATGTTTTAAATTAAACTAATGTTAATGTTTTCAATGGAGATAGAAGCTCAGAATGAGTTTCTGTTCTTATAACATTCAGCTATTTTCTATGGCTGCTGTTTAGTTGAATCTCTGTGTGCTCCTGAAAAACCTATGCATTCCTGTAGTATATTAATTTGAAAGCATTTCTGTAATAATATCTGTGTATGCTGCAACTTAAAATCCTGAGGATATGGTCATACAGTTGTTAGCAGCTGAATTTGATCTATTTTAAGAAGTTTTTGTTCCTGCAGCTGGGATGTGATAACTGACCTTAGGTATATTCTTAATTTTTATCAGTGTGCTGTGAAAGGCCTTCACTACTGTAATTCACTACTGAATTTTGAATATTATTTTTGCAATATATCATAAACTACATTAAAGCATCTTCATTGGCTTTTTTCAGTAAAGTCCTATATTTTTCACTGTGGTGGACTGCACAGCTCTTACAAGCAGGTTATCCTGATTCACTGAGGTGGAGGCTGTAGCTTTTTGACCTATTCTACCTTAATTTGTTGTGACTTCTCTGACAGTACCTATGTTGATGGGTACCGATGTAAGGCTGATGTAATCACTCCTAGTAGCGTACAGATTTTTGTATAACAGTAAACATTGTAGATGTTTTGCTGCTGTACAGCAGGGCTCAAATCTTTCTGCAGTATTCTTACCTTTTTCTCAGCCTGCTGTATTGGGAAACTCATTATGGTTGCAGTTAACTTAGCAGTAGAACGTCACTAATTGACCAATGTAATGTACAAAACTAATTTTTCACAGCTCAGGGACATGAATCATTACTTTATCTTGTCACTAAAGCATTTACTTGACTTAATTTTAAAATTATCATTATAAAATGAAGATGAATTAACAGTGCACGTTTGAAGCTAGAATAAATTAGTCTTTAATAAGTAGTTTTTGGAGTTCGGTTTGTCTTATTGCATTGTATGGAAGATGTGGCAAAACTTGAAATTGGGTGGTGCTCATAAGTGATCTATTTTCTAACTTACTGAAATTGATGGTTCTAACATGAAATCATTTATTCTTATACTCAAAGCCTTTCTCACTCTGTTGTGCGTGTGGTTTTTTTTTTTTTTTTTTTAAAACAATCCATTACTGTTTTAAAGGATTTGGTGAAAATTCACAGAAGTCTAACACAGGACATCAATGATTCCATTGTTAACAAAAATGATCAGAACCTGTATCAGATTTTTATTAACTACAAGGAAAGGTAAGATTTATAAGCTAATTTTTATTAATTTCACTACTCCTATTTTTATTTGCTGAATATTTCTAAAATAGAATCAAATTCAATGTGAGTGTATTTATAAAGCTAATGTTTGACTGGTGTTTTGAATTTGGAAGTCAAAAAGTAACCTATCACTGTATGAGCCGTTCCTCTTCCTCCCCCGGTTTTGGCAATATTGTTACGTAGACAGGTAACATATGTGTTATGAACAAAACTAAGTAGCTTATTTTACACAGTATTTTTTTTTTCATGCAGATTATCCCAGATATTTTATAGCATGTACCCAAATATTTTATAGTGTTGTTTGACAGGTAAAATATTTTCAAAAGGGGAAGAGAGGTAAAATAAGGCAAGGATGTGTGTTAAGGCCGTTCCAGATAAAAGAGAACAGAAGAGGCGATAACTTGAAAGGAGACAAGGGAAGTGGAAAGCAGAGGGGAGAAGAGACTGGGGGCCGTACTGTGCCCTACTGTCAGAGGCGTGACAGGAAGGCGCACGCTCTCTACCTTCAAGCGGCGAGAGCCAGCGAAGCTCATGACAGGATGGCCATGGCAGCAGGCCCTGCCCTGTAGGCTAGCTGCCAGTTTTTTTACCCACCTTTTCAGACTGTTTTTTCTGCCAACGCTGAGCAGCTGTTGAACTGTGTGGATGAACTTGCATACCTGTGACACTTAGCTGAGAAACAGTTGCACCGTGGACTACAGTGCTGACCCACCTTGACGTAATCCTTGGGTCGTGGTTAAAAATGAGGTTCCCTCTGGGACTGGAGTTGACAAGAACTGTGGGAGCTAATTGGGCTTGCTTGAGGGTGACGGGGAAGGAGGACTGTTGCAGTAATAACGGGCTTGTGACAAATTGGGCAGCAGTATCTGGAAAAGGTTAGACAGGAGAGTTGTTTTTTGAGGGAGGAGGCCGTCCCAGGCTGCCAGTAAACAGTCTTGCCTTCGGAGGCCCTCTGTCTAACCTTTTATGTTGGAACAGGACATAGTTATTTCCCAGGCTATTAGACTTTCTCCTGCTGCAGGAGGGAATTGGAGGGCAAGAAGTTGTTCTGGATAACGTGTGTTTTTCAAAAGTAGCTCTGAGATGTGTGCTTAAAGGGGGAACAAAAGAAACTGAGAACAAACCTGAAGTTTCTGTTGATTATACAAAAGGGAAACAGATGGAGGTAGGCTCAGCATCTTACAGTGCAGTTATTAAAGATAATCAAAAGTGATAAGTGTTAAATCACTATCTTCACCTCAATAGTAGGGGAAAAAAAGGTGAATGGTAAAGATTTGATAAAGGAAAAAGAAATTTAATAGACCACAACAGAAAGCTTATAAGAGCCCAGGAAAGGGGATACAAAAGGAGTCACCTCAAGAAATGTATGAAAATGTGAAAGGAAAGAAAATGTTTTGCAGTGGGGACTAGCAGAAAGAAGCACTTCAGATAGGAGTAAGACACTCCTGATTATAAGAACAGGCTCTTTCAAGAAGCATTGCTTCTCTTTTGACAACTATTGAAAATTTCTGGAGTTTATGTACACTGACTATTATTTTAACCTGAGAGCTCACAGGATATAACCTGGTAGAAACTGTCGGAGAAGGATCAGTTTGGAGAACCTACAATTCCTTTAAAAAAAGGATAGCTGTAATTAATCTTAAGCCTGTTTTACAGAATTTATTCATAATATCCTTTGAAATCTGCAGTATTTTTAAATACTACAGGCTTTTGTACTGTTCAACAGCAGTTATGCTGCTTTGCAGCTTGAGTCCTTATCAGAAGATATACATGTGAACGTTAAAGCAAATTGCAGTGATTTGACAGCATTTTGAAGGTAGAACAATACTGTATTTTCCCCGAATACCCTTCTTTGTGTTTTTGCTGCCCTTTTGGAGTCTGGCTAAATCTCGTCCTTGGTTATTTAGTCACAGTTCCCATTGAAAGAAAGTGTTACCAATCTGTTTATGAAATATGATCAAGGATTGTTCTTAAAACAAATACACGAATATTGTCTTCATTCTTTCTCTTATTTTGATTTAGATTGGTTATTTATGGACAGTACTGCAGTCAAGTGGAGATAGCAATATCGTGCTTAGACAACATCTCTAAGACGAAAGAAGATGTTAAGTTGAAGTTAGAGGTATCGGTGTTTTTAATATACATATATATATATGCAGACATGTATATATAAATACACCCTGCTTTCATCCAAGTGAATAACCTTATAACAAAACACTAGCTAGACTGACGTGTGAGTGTGTATTTTTCATTTTTTGGAGCTTCTGATCAAATGAATGTGTGAGCTTTTGAGATACAGAGCCTCGGATTCTGTCCCCGTGAAGTGAATGGAGTTTTGCCGACTGACATCAGTAGGAATAGGATTTTTTTAAAGGAAGTAGTTGTCAGTGAGGCCCGGTGTTAGTCATGATATCTCAGCTGAGAAACTAGCTAGTCAAGTGTGGCAGTTTGGGACAGATAGTGCCCTTCTGCACGTATACTGGTATGGAGGCTCTACTTCCTCAAGAGCAGTCACCAAAATTATGGTGCTTTTTGAGGTTTCCCTTTAGGGTGCTATGACACCCTTTTAATGTTTTCTCTGGCTCTGGGATTGGAAGTCGTGGTGCGGACCAGCATGCTTTGGGGCACAGTATAATTGTCCCAGCTATTGGTGGGGGCACGGAGGTATAGAAAGGGATTCTGATCCTATAATACAATCTGTAGATTTTAGGTTTCCTAGTCATTGTTTCTTCACAGGAATATGCTTCCCAGCTGTCTGTTCTGCCTTCTGAAAGGACAGACAGTCTGCCCACGGCCTGCAGTGTTGCTCTGGAGCTGCTCTGCTGTAGGTGCTGGCTGGGGAGGCTAACTTAGAGCTGCAGAATGGCACAGAGCGGAGGGGACTGCCAGGCTGAGTGAGCCCTGTCCCGCAGCCTCTCCTTGCAGGGCCTCATGGGTTTTGCTGTCTGCCAAGATCCTGGGTCCTTTTCAGCAGAGCTGCTCCCCAGCCAGCCAGTCCCTAGGCTGTACTGCTGGAGGGGGTTAGTGTGTCTTCAGGGCAGGACTTTGCCATTGTCCTTTTTGATTTCATGAGGTTCCTGTTGGACCTACCTTCAAGTGTGTCACCTGCACGCCCCCTCCCCCACCTGGTAGTGTCTGCAGGGGGACACTCCATCTCTTCCTCTGTTCCATTGCTAAAGACATTAAATGGCAGAGGTCCCAGGACAGACCTCTGAGGAACTCCATTTGCAACTGGTCTCCAGGTAGTGTGTGAACCAATAGACACTGCTCTTTGAGCCTGTTGATCTAGCCAGCTTTGCCCACCTGGATATAAAGATCCACATCCCAACCTGGATATAAGGATGCTATGGGAGACCATGTTGAAAGGCCTGCAAAAGTCAAGGTGTACTCTCCCCACCCATCCATAGATCTGGTCATTTCATCACAGAAGGCAGTCAGGTAGGTCAGCTGTGATTTACCTGTGCAAATCCATGCTGGCTATTCCCAATAACCACCTTCTCCTTCATGTGCCCAGCAATGGCTTCCGAGACGACTTGCTTCATGCTTTTCCCAGGGGCTGAGGTGAGGCTGACTGGCCTGTAGATGCCAAGATTTTCTTTTGCCCTTTTGAAGACAGCTGTAATATTTCCCTCCTTTGCTGTGCTTTTAGACAATGCCTAATTTAGTTCTGTAGAACACCTAATTTCTGTTGTTTTCAAGTCTTATTTATTCCATGCTCATGCTGCTGAAATACATAAGAACATGTGATTAGACCTGGTCTTTTTTAGCTCAGGTGGTATTGCTATATTGATTAATTCTCTGCATTTTATTGTTAGTCTATATCTTATGTTCAGTACAGTTGCTTGGCCTATATATCACTTTGAATTTTCATATACATCATTTTGAATGCTTGCATTTTCTAACTGTCTCATTTTAATCTTTCCTCTGCTTTGAAATAGGAATGTTCCAAGAGGGCCAATAACGGGAAATTTACATTGCGGGATCTCTTAGTGGTTCCGATGCAGAGAGTGCTGAAATATCACCTACTGCTCCAGGTATTTTATTTTGGAAGTTTTAGGTTTCTGAGAGCAGAACTGTGGTGACTTATCGTTGGTGGAATATTAGAATGAGAGTTTAGAGCCTTTTCAAAGGGAGGTGTTTGATATTTCCATAGATTTGAGGTGATTTGTTATAAAATGAAATCCAGTCAAGTGTGGGCTTCTTAGTGGCGTTTCATTCCTCAGAACTAAAGCATATCTGGGAAAAACAAACGAGCTGCAATTGCTTCCCCAGTATCTGAACCTATTTTTAAAATTGTTAGTTGTGTCAAACTATAATCGTGGTGTTTTGAAATGTGGACCCCCAAAAGAGGAAGCTACAATACATACTCCATACTTTTAAGATGCTTCCTTGCTGTCCTAAATTACAATAAAGCCATATTTATTTTGATATGCTTCTTGTTATAACCCACAAAGCGTTAGCTTTCACAGTTAGCCCTATAATAAGGGTGGAGAGTCTTATAAATTTAATTTGATAGCTGTGCCAGGAGGCTCATTAGTTCAGCTGCAAAGAAATATATTACTATATTAGACTGTCAACCCTGCTGATGCTTGTAAAATGTCGTTTTAAAAAGAGCTACTACTTGTATGTGAAGCATAATTTTGACTCTGCAGAGCAATATACATTCTGTATATTAAATTTCTTGAAATATTTCTATAAATGTGAGTCATCAGTGTTTTGATTAATGGAAAATTGGGGAAAAAAAAGAATGGAACAGCTACTTTAAAAAAAATTTGAGATTTGAGTCATGGTTTTTATAATCAACCTGTATACTATGAAAGGATATGTAACGTGTCGGTATACACTAATGTGTGAGATTACAAAAAACTAGCTTGTAAACAAAGATAAATGTTTAACAGACTTTGCAAAAGAAAAAATCCAATAAAATTGTTTCAGTTGTAAAGTGAAGTATACATGTTTATTCCTTCATTTTCTAGGATTTTAGAAAGTTGTTATATTACTTGAAATGTAATTCTCTTCTCAGGTTATAAAGAAATAACAACCTGTTTCCCTACGAGGTTACTTTTCCACGTCAGAAAAACAAAAAAGCCCTTTAATTTTCCATATGGGAAGTGGCTAAAAAAAATTCTTTCAACATTTGTGTGTGATTTAAATTTATCTTCTGAGTCAGCTGTATCTTAGGCATAATGAACCAATGACTTCTTTTACACAGTTGCGCAGTTTAGCTGAGGTTTTATTGCCAGCATACGTTCCTCTCTGCACACAAATGCATGCTTTGCAATAGGATTATATGCTCTATAATAATGTGCAAATGAGCTCAAGTGTTTGCCTGTGCTTTCAACGCACACATACTGTAATGATCTGATTGGCAAGTTTTAAGTACAAGGCGGACCAAATTAGCTTTTAACGTTTATTCATTAACAACTAAAATCAGTCTTTAGGCTATATAGCAGTCATTCTTAAACACTTACCAGTTATTTGTTTGCAGGTGTCTGTAGTAAGTTATAGGCTCTATAGGTCATTATAAGGAAGAAAGTGTGAATTCTTGGGCTGTGCTATCTGTTTAAGGTGAAATTGGCAATTCTGAGGAATGAGCAATAGTAACTGCAGTTTGTAAAATGGCAGCCAGTGGGTGAAAAGCTGTAACTACTCTGTCAACAGGAGCTGGTAAAACATACTACTGATCCTGCAGAGAAGGCAAATCTAAAACTGGCACTTGATGCAATGAAGGTAAGTATTTGTGACAATGAAGTATTTATATCTATGCTGCCATTTAAAATGCTGGTTCACAATTATATTTCCTGGAGGAGATAGTGTTTTTCACAACAGAGCAAACAGTTGTCATAGTTCACTGTGAACTTTGTGAGTACATTAGGCACGTAGACAGTTGAAGGCTTTGCCCAAGTCTGGGAAGAAGTTTAGTGGTTTTCTGAAGTGGAGTGCTTGTGAAGTGGAGCTGTCCCGTTTCTATTTATTTCGCTGTCAATTTGCTCTCATATGAAGAGGTGAAAAGAAGAGTGCTGCAGTAATGCTAGTCTCATTTCTCCAAGATTTAGAATATGCCCACTACTGTAAGTCACTTCTAATCCAGGTCAACGGTTTGCCGGTGAGATGAAGACAGTTATCTATCTGTACAAGACTTTTTCTTTTAACTTCTTAGTGTGGTCTCTGTGGCTTTGGCCTAGAAGGCAGTAGTATCTCTCCTGAGGTATAATACCTGTCACTGTACGCTCACCTGCTAGCGGGACAGACAAATGCTTTATAGAATAGCAGTACTGCTTTAAGTATAATGTAATGTATTATGTATCCCCCTGCGCAGTGTGGGAGGAAGCCAACACAGCATAGGCCAGATCTCCTTCTGTTGTAATCTGCACGGTCCGCGGAAAATGCTGAAGTCAGACTGGATTAGTTTTGGGTCACGCAGCCATCTCGTATGATGGCACTGTCGGCCTTGGGTGCCCGCAATACCGACTAGCTCACAGATGAGAATTTTGGCTCCCTTTTTTGACATCTGGTTCTGTGCAGTGAATGCAGAATCCACCATGATAATTACAGCAGAAGTCTGTAGGGAAGAAAACCATCAGGACCTGAACAAGCAGCTGTCCTTGCTCCGTGAGCGGGTGTCGGGAATGAGCCTAAGTTTCCTTTTTGCACCTGGTGAGGTTAAAAAGGCTTCCAGTCCTGAAAAATGAGGCTCTTGGCTCCCAGGCAGAGATGACTGAAGTGGGGATGGCACGGTTTCGCTTCCTGTGTGAAGCATAAGCGCTTCCCTGGTGGCAAGCTATATGTGCTGGTTGCTGGTAAATGGCTAGAATAATCCTGTTTGTTTTTATACTTTTTTCCTCTTTTCCCTTCTTTTCTCTCCCCCCCCCCCCTTTTTTTTTTTTTTGCTTTTGTGTTGTTGAACTGAAAATAAATGACCGATTAAGAAATCTCCTGCCCGAGTGGCTGTGGCAGTTATGTCCTGGCTGGCAGGAGACATGACTAGCCAATGAAAACAAAATGAATAGAGTTTACAGAAATGAGCATCTCTCATTAAGGCAGTTACAAAAGGTACCTCACAGCATTGTTTCCCTCCTGGCTTAGTGTGTCATCTTGTAATAATCTCTGCCAGCACAGTAGAAGTAACTATGCAGCGTTGGTACGTTTTTTCTAAAGCCCCTGGTGTGTCTGCTAGAAAAATGAAAACTCTTTGGGAAAAGCTGCTAACAAACTGGAACTGAGTAATTTTTACTGCCTCCCCCCCCCGAAAGAAAATTCCAAGAAGGGTTATAGTGTCAGCTTTCTGTTAGCAGCAAGGAAAGAGATTATTTTACTTTATTTTTACACCAGCTCTTTTAAGACTGACATGAATGTCACTTGGATCCATTTTGGAAGCTAGTAGAATGGTTTCAGCTATTCTTAGGTTCTCGTGAAAACATCTTTAGTAAGAAGTATCCTTTTCCCACCCTCCAAATTTGTGCCCATATTGAAAGACACTGTTAAAGCAAGTTGTGAGGATCAGAATGCCTTTTCCAACTGCTGCTCTCGCCATCCCTAACCTTAGCACTTACCACTCCTGCTCACTCCTAGTCTCTAGCCATAAACAGAGAAGCCCCGGCAAATTGTTGCTATTACCCAAGCAAGTTCAGACCTTTTTAAAGGTGTCAGTGAAGTGTGTACAGTATGTGTGCTGGTGAAGGGGACAATAATGATCTCAACCTGTGACTTCCGGTAGTATACCCCATTAAAAGCCCCTTTTAAAATCTGCTGTGTAATAGCTTCTGTTTGCTATACAACAGTAAGAGCAAGATGCTACTATTGGGTGGGAACTTCTTCTCTCCCCCCTTATGTACGTGCAGGCACATAGTATGCTTACGTTTTCTATGGTGCTTGTGAGCAGCGTTATATCTGTATTCTATATGCAGTATGTTGAATGCTTCTTCAGACTGTGTGCTACATAAATTACACTTCCAAGTTTAGTCTTGAAAATAAGACATGAACCAAATATAGAAAAAGTCATCCCTCTTTTTATAATTTATTATGTGTTTTCTTATTTGTTGCTACACAATTTGGGATTGAAAAGATAATGAAGAAAGTTGTAAATATGATGTAAAATGTGCAGAGGCTTCTTTGCTTTTTTTTTTTTAGGCATACATACTGGTAGTTCTTGAACATTAAAGATAACTCTTAAAAAAAAATGACTAAATGTGTAGATGAGGCAAAGACAGAAATAATCTATTAAAGTGATCTACTACAGAAAAGCTTTTCTCTCTTTTCGTGTTGATCCTCTAGGACTTGGCTCAATATGTAAATGAAGTGAAGAGAGATAATGAAACACTCCGTGAAATTAAACAATTTCAACTGTCAATAGAGAATTTGGTATGTTATACATCTCCTTTTATAGTTTTTAAATCACTCCTGATCAAGTATATTGATAGATACTTTTTCTTCCCGTTTCATGTTACAATTATAGTACCCTCGGTGAAATTCAAGGATATATATGCTTTGGTTGATTTAGAATGGTATACGTATTTAAGTACAGATATTTCTGCTCATGGTCTTGGGAGTCTGTGTACAGTTACATATGTGTGTACTTAAATATTATTTGTATAGCGCTCCACATGTTTTCAAAATGGGAAAAATGTGCACCTTGGAAGAAGGAAATGTCCTGTGTACCGATGCTTTATCAATTTTAGTTTACATGATAGTGAAGTAAGGATGTGGATGTTTTGTTTGTTTGTATCTTTATTTGCTTAGACCTGAAAAGTCTGTTTTGGGGGTAAAAGGAGTGGTCCGACTTTTGAACATGTCAACGTTTTACCACTTCTGTGCTGAGCCATGCATATTCCTTTTGTTTTCAGAACCATTCCCTGTTACAGTATGGAAGGCCACAAGGTGATGGGGAAATAAGGATAACTACATTAGACAAACGTGCAAGGCAAGACAGGTGATGGCATGAGTTCTGATGTTTGCTACTAAAATGCCTGCAGAGTCAATCTGTCTTTTTAGATCAGTGGTCAGTTGAATGATTCTTCAGAGTACTTTTCCTTTCACTGCGCATTCACAGAGCCTATCAATGTTAAGTAAATTTGCAAAGTGATTCGTGGCAAGTTAGCCATTACATTAGCATCTAGGATCATCTGAGTTGCTGTGAACCTCTTGCAAAAGTACTTTGTGTTTCTTGTTTTATTATCCTCCACAGTTGTAAAACTTTGCCTGTGGCACTTAGAGGGCTTTGGGTGTTGGCTTGCCAAAGTATTTTAAACCCTTTTTATGTTGTATTTTCATAGGCATATCTTCTTGTTTGATCTAGCTGTAATTGTTTGCAAACGAAGAGGTGATAATTATGAAATGAAGGAAATAATAGATCTTCAGAAATACAAAATTACAAATAACCCCACTACTGATAAAGAAAATAAAAAGGTAAATATCTATGATACTGATTCATTTAAAATGTGCTTTCATCACCAGTCAGAAAAATTTTGCAGGAGTTCAAGAAACGTATTTAACATTTATTTACAAAGTTTTAGGTATTAAACATAAACTGAACGGTATTTGAAATGACTGTTTAAGGATTTCAGCTTTGTTTATTTTGCTATAATTAAAACATTTGAGTAAGCCATTCCCAAGTGAACAGAATTACAAAATAAACTGGTCTCAGTGTTTCTCAAATCAGGATTTATATTAAGGAACCTAGAATTACTTCTTTTTGCATAGTTGCTGAGCTGCTGATCTGTGTATTGCTGGTCTTTTTATGCAGTGGTCTTATGGCTTCTACCTCATTCATATCCAAGGTCAAAATGGATTAGAAGTTTATTGCAAAACTAAAGATTTGAAGAAAAAGTGGCTCGAACAATTTCAGATGGCCCTGTAAGTATATTTCCGTCAAACTAAAATCACCTTCATCATCAGTCTAAGAATATGCAGCATTGCTTTCATATTTTAAATTTTAATTTTTATACACCCTAGTAAATTGTTTTGTTTGACTTTCTGGAAACAAAACTCATAGCTAATTTCTTCAGTAACTATGACACCTCCCTGAAATTCCTCTTGGAAAAGAAAGAGGGCACTCTAGGCTATGTATTAACTTTCTGCCTTCACTGCCAAGATGCTTAGTAATACAGTCTGAAGTAACCAGGGAGATTATTGTTTTAGCAATAAATATTTAACATATTAGTGACTTTTCCCTCATTTTTATTTTAGTTAATTGCATTTTTGAGATCATGCTGATGATTTAAGAAAGAGGATGCTGACTTCTTTCCTAGTGGCTTTTAACTAACTTACTGTTTAGAATTTAGATCAAGTTGCTTGCTTGATTACCTTTGCTTTCCAAAGGTTGATTTCCTTTACAAATTTTAAACTGAGACATGACTGTTGCAGACTTCTTGCAAAGTAAGTTGTTCAGATCAGCATTGCAGGTTACGTTACTGTTATGAAGCATCAGCTTTACTTCCATTTCTAATTCTTGTTGAAAAAACAAACATAATTATTGACACTTCGAGTATTCTGATCACATTTAAAACACATGAACAAAGGAATCGGGTAGCAAGGAGATGCTTTGCTTTATTTAAAAAAAAAAAAAAAAGTGTGTATGGGGAGTGAAATATTCCCAGTGAAAACAGAGACAGTATTAATGAAGATTATTTTAGAGATGAGTGTAAAGAAATGTGGACTGGAAAAAAAGGAGTAAGCAGGCTATTATGGGCTGATGTGATTGAAACTCACTTGTAAGCTATATGTATTCCTTTAAAACGTCAGTTTGAGCGTTAATGATTTAAATGAAAATACAAAGGAGGAGAGCCCAGATTGGAAAGATACAGTGAGGTCTTCCACCCAAGGTTCTCATCTTGCTGGCTGTAGCAAAGACAGAAGTGATGTGATTCAGCAACGATTTCTGGGTAGTGTGGTGGGGTATGGAAGGAGGCTTTTGTTTATATGGGTGCAGAAAATTAAGTACTTTGCCTTTTCCTATCTTTCTGTCTCTGTGCTCTCCCTGCTGTGTTTCCTGTAATGCCAATGTTGATATTTATTTAAGTATAGATAAACTGTGTTTGAAAAGCATGAGGAACCTAGATTTATCAGCTTTAACAGTACAGCTATTGATCCCTCTTCAGGCCTCCTCCCCCTACCCCAAGGAGAAGGGAGGGAAGGAAAAATCAGCCAAGGAGTTAATGAGAGCAGTAGGAGCTATGTTTCTTCCTAGGAGCGTAGCCTCATTTTTGTAATTCTCTGCAGGCCTGTTTTCATGCCTGCTCACCTTTGCTTCGTGTTCTCCTGTGTTTTGGGGGACTTCCCCAGCCCTTGTGTGGCAGGGATACCTGCTCCTTCTCCTGCACCTCCCAGTTTGTGAATGGCTGGCCCCCTGTGTATCTGTCCTCCCTCTCCCCATGCATCCGTCTTCCCAGGTGACAGCCACATCTCTGCAAAACGTTTCTCCCCTCCTTTTTTTGCCATTTTTTTCCGGAGTCTCTTTCCTAGAGCCTTTCCTAGACTTTTTCCTAACTTTTAGGCTAATCTCCAGTACCCTCTTATTACTTCAAATACCAGGGTGTCCAGGCTATAATTGCCTTTATTTTGTGTTTGTGAGTGTTTGAATGAAGATTGTGGTGGTTTTTTTTTTTGGTGTTTTTTCCCCTGTGCCTGTGTGTGTGGTGAGCGCAGTTGCCTATAACAAAATGTTAGGCATCAGCCAGTGCTCCGTGCTGTTCAAGTGCACTTTTGCTAATGGTGATTTACTGATTTACTGTTGCAAGTTGTCGTAGGGGAGTGGAACAGAGGGGACCTGAAGGTCTGACGAGTTAATTTACTACTCTCTCAGCTCGGGCAGATGGAGTTTGTTGTTGAAAGTGAGACAGGTGGTGTCAACCTTGTCTTTCATGGATGTTTGTCCATCTTGTAAAGCCATACCCCTGGTTTAACCTCCTCCTGTGTGAGATACAGGAGCTGGCATAGCAGGTTGCTGCAGGTCAGGGCTGAGCTGTGTTAGTAGGGCTGAGGTGTAACGTGATGAAGTGGCATTATTTACCTTAACCAATGCTTTTGTTCCCTTATATTTATAACAAATAGAATGTAAAAGCGTGTTTTAAACAAAAACTTTATACGTTTCTTTTTCCTCTCCTGTTACTTGCATTTGACATTATAGCATATTTCCCTTAGCAACTTTCTACCAGGATGGATTTCCCCAAACATGCCCCAGTGTATGTAGCAATAATTACATTCTTATGTGTGCCGAGGCACAAAAGTTTGTTTTTGGGAATAAACTAAGCCGATTGTTTTGAACAATAGGTTGGTTGGTTTGATTTGTTGTTTTCAGGGGTCTCATTGCCCATTGTGTAGGTTATCTGTTCTAGTGTCATTCTGCTCTGAAAAGTAACCATGATCAGAATGATGCTGTTCATCATCCTCAGTTATAATTGCTGTGTTTACAGACAAAGTATTTCTGATTACTTTAAAATTGTACTGAGTGCATTGTACAATTGACAAGGAGTGAATTGGATTCTTTCTTGATTATCGGAAATGATGTTGTTTACTGAGTTGCAGATAGAAATTTTAGAGCGATTTTGTTGCCTTCAGAACAACATTCTGTATGAAATTAGGTCTATGCAAGTGTTAATCTAGGAACATAACAAGGGAACATATCAAGATCTCTTTTTTTTATTGTTTTAAATTAAGAATAAGGCTTGCTTTCACTAGAGTAGTTTTATTGATGTAACTATGTTAGGCTATAGTTTGTTTATTTTTTAGGTGGTTAGATGGTTGTATCAGTGTAAGAATGACAGTGGTTATAGTTATGTTTCTGAAAAGGCACCCAATGTAGAGTTGCCTTACTTTGCTTCCTGAACCTTTCAATGTATCTTGGTAAAATGCCTTTTAAAAACTTTTCTGTGTAGATAAGTCCTAAATCTACTGCAGTCAGTCAAATTACTCTTATGCTACAGTGGTGTAACTGGGACAAGAATTTATCTCTGCATGCAGAGAAGCATACGTTACTGATGTAGTACGAAACAGAGAGCACAGCTTTGCTGACTGGACTTGGTTTGAATGCGGAGGGCAGGAGTAGATTAGGCCACTGGCTATGGAAGAGCTTCGAAGTGAGGAAGGATGGGATCCCAGTTCCCTTTGCAGAATGGTGCGTTTCAGACTAGTAACTACTTTGAATTTAGAGAGAAAACTAGTTTCACAGACCTGTGAAGATATTTGGTCTCTTGGCCAGCTCCATTGTTACTGCAGTATATACTGAATTTGGTTACATGGGAAGATAGGAACGATGGTCTCCTCTTTATAAGAAACAGAGTAAACTGTTTTTGTTCATATGGCAATTCAGCTGCTACAGTAAGTATTTGCTGTTTTCCCGAGACTATTGTTCAATTTAGAAAAATATGTAATACCAAAGCACCTCAGTTGTTTTTTTTTTGCTAAGAATTTCATAAGGGTTTTTAGTGGAGCCTGTACAAAGAATGCATCCTCAGTGACAACAGTAGGCTTTAGCACTGCTGCACTGAATTTGATGCTGTTGCCCCATTCTCACTAATCTCTGAAGTCAAGGCTGACTCAGCTTCCTCTGTCCTTTTTTTTGTTTTGCTTTTTTAATATATGGTGTACAACCTTCAAAATTGGCAGTTATTTTAGAGCACTGAATTTTCTAGATGACAGTAAAATGAAGAATGACGTTGGGGCAGCAGAGTTAACATTGCAGTTGGACTCTTGCAGCTGAAACTTCCATTAAACTGAATCTGCTGAATTTGAGAGGTTTTTGTAAAGCCAGCAGGCAGAGACCAGTGGAATATGTTTTAACAGGAGCCTGCATATTACAAAGGGATTAGTTTTCTCTTGGTCTGTCTGCTCGCTCTCACTGACGTTAATGGGAGTTTTGCATGCACAGCGAGAACATGACTGCTCTTTGTCTCAGAAGAGCAGTGCTGCTGAAGAGCAATTGTAGTTAATTGAGCAGTTGCTTTTTGTCCTTGGAACCCTGTTCATGATAAGAGATTAGCTTATAGCAAAATACCTAAATAAACACCTTCTTAAGGATAGTGCTACAAAGTACTATACTAGGAGTGGAGTGTTCATGTTTGATCTAGCATGTCAGATAACACTGGTTAAAATGCAGATTCATTCCATAGCTAAGATGTTAATAGAAGTGTTCAGCCAAGGTACCACACGCTTGTTAGGAACACCATATATAAAGTTTGTCAGGAATGTGATAATGTGCACTGTTTATTTGCGGTTAATAAGCCATTAAAAACCTGAAAAACTGATTGTAAGAGCAAGAGACAGTATTTTATTAGATTTTTCTAATAAAATGTCCCATCTAATCTATTCTCTTCTTCTGTATTAAAAAAAACCAGAAGAATCGGAATAAATATTTAATGTCTCATAATACACCTACAATTTATACATAATACTTGATACTTTTATATTATCATTCAGCTTATGCTGTAAGGTAGGGGAGTTGATTTGCTATCATTTTTTTCTAGAAAATTCTCCTACAGATGCTTTTCATATTTTACAAATGCTTATTTAAAAAAAAATTCTGACTAATATGTGTGTTAATTTTATCATTAAAAGAAAGAGCTACTTGATGCTGTTAGTTTGATGATACATATTTTCTTTTCATTCTGTTTATTGTGAGTTGTGAAACTTGAAGTTGTCTTTCTCTATTGTGTAAGTGTATGTACCACAATTATATTCCTTTGTCTTTGGAACCACTTAGCCAACTAATTATCAAGCTTAATTTCTTCTTATATGGCAACTCCTTTTCTCCTCATCATGGTACTGAGTTTACTCTTTTGTACTTCTTTTTTATTTCATTGTGAGATAACAAGGATAATAGAATAAATACTGAAAGAGAAGATATCAATCTGACTCAT